TATGACCCTCACAAAAACAATACTAATGACATCAAGACAAATGGAACTATATATTGAGAAAGACAGTGTTAACAAAACAATATATATTTATATTTGATACATTTAATGTTCCTTGAAGTAACCACTGTTTGACTTGATGCCAGTGTTGCTTACTCTTGGTGATCTCTTCAGCTTCATGAGGTTGTGCCCTCAACTGAACCTTGTCAAGAGTGAACAAGTGGAATTTCTTTCCTTCTTACTGTGTTTGACGACATCAGTTGTGTTGTCCTGAGGTAATAGCAGGTCCACAAATGAAAACTAACAAGTGTCTCTTGACATATGAGACACAGAGTGTTATCTATGGTTTGTGCTTGGTGGGATCATCATTTGGTTTTCAGCAGGACGATGAGCCAAAACACACATCCAGGCTCTGCAAGGACTATTTGATCAAGAAGCAGAGCGGCGTATCGCATGACCTGGCCCCCACAATCACCTGATCTAACATTGTTAAGGGCTAGTTGGACGGCAGAGTGAGTGGAAAAGCAGCCAACAGATGCTCAGTGTGTGTGGGAACTCCTTGAAGACCGCTGGAAAAGCTCCAGGTGACGACTCCATCGAGGTGGCTGAGAGGATGCCAAGAGCAGGCAAAGATGCTGTCAAAGCAAAAGGTGGTTACTTGTAAATGTAAAATTTAATACATAAATTGGCTCATTTAAGTGTTTTTTTGCTTACTACATGAACCCACATGTGTGATTTTAAAGTTTTGCTGTATGTATCAGACCATATTTTCTCTTATCCACACACTTCTGACACGACCAGTTTCTCTCTTGCTTGTGCACCTCATCACTTAGTCAGTATGTTAATTAGTCCGAGTTCTAGTTCCAGCCTGTACAGCTATTGGCACTGTGGGTGTTACTGGGATAATTAAGCTCTGGCTGCAGTTTAATGATACTCTGCTTCACTCCACATGCTTGATTTGGTTATGTTGTTTTAGTTTCTTTTTTATGTTTTGCCTTGCACTTTTCGACACCCACTCTCGTATTACTCATTCATGCATCCACCACGGACTTTACTGACTTCTGCAAGCCCTTAGAGACTTTGAGAAGAACTTAAAAATATATTAAACCGTCATGCTTAAAAAATGGTTAAATGTAGCCAGTTGGGCGCAAATACTTTTCGATCTGTTCAATGAGGGGCAAATTTTCAAAGATTGAGTAAGGTACAACTCAACAGGTTTACAGAACAAAAGTGTTTCCTCAGCTGAGACTCTGTATCACTCATAGAGAATGTTCAGGAAATGATTTGGTACAAAGGAGACGCTTCTTCCAGCCGATACAAATCAGAAACCCTGAACTGTTCTGGACCAGATTAGCTCAACAGCATCAGTTACCATGGTGATCAGGCAGGTTAAAAGAGAGCAACCTTCATGATAGTGAAAAGTCTGACTTTAGGCTCAGCATACTTGCTAACCACTAATCTCATGCACATTACACATTACATGACAGTTTCATCCAGATAAAATGTTATGTTCAAATACACAGAACTTTATTCTCTGGTCATAGTCTAATCTGTTTTTATTTTTTATTTTTTAGAGCACTTACAGGGCAAAAGGCATTGTGCCAAAATGTTTTCCAGTTTACACATTAAGCTGAAGACAGCCACAGACCATAAGATGCACTGGAAATATGATTAGTGCATATTTTAGGAGAAAAATATTGACAGATGAGACTGAAATTAGCATATTGTTGGTGTATGATTCATGCATGAGGTTGTTTCATCACTTATTCACTTACAGTACTTTTTTTTTCTCTTCTTTTTTTATTGAACATATTTTCTAGAGGGCAGCACGGTGTTGCAGTGGTCAGTGCTGTCACCTCACAGCTTGAAGGTCCTGTCAACAGAGAATTTAGAAGCTGAATTCATCCAGAGTTCACGCGTCTGTTTTGGGAATGTTTACATATTAGTGCATATTTAACTAAAAAAACATCTCATTTGGATATTTAACATAGCATTAAAGGAAATGAATGCAATTTTTTCCTATTCTAGTTTTGTTGCAAAAGTAAATCTACACCACATATAGTTATATTATTTGAATTTTCAGATCATAGATCCATCCATCCATTATCTATACACCACTTAATCCTCACTCCGGGATATAAACCCATAGCATATAATATATCATAGCATAGCATAGTATAGCTTATATAATATATCATATCATATTGAATTATGTCATGGCATATTGTAGCATAGCATATAGCATATATCCTAGCATAGCACAGCATAGCATATAGCATCATATCATCACATACATCATATCATTACCTATTTGTTTTACCTTAACTTGAAAATCAAACCCTATACATCTTATGCAATTTGATATCATGTATATCAGATATATCAGGTCATAAAGTATATCACAAGACAGCATAGAATACATTATCATAATCTCATCACATCATATCATTTTTATCATACTATATATATATGATATATATAAATTCATAGCATATGATATTTCACATCATAGCATAGAATAGTATATACAATCTTGCATATCATATTACATTGAATTTCCCTTCTGGGGTGAATAAAGTATTTTTCATTTTCATTTTCATTCATTTTCATATCCTGTGTCATATACCACATATATTTCACACTGTGTATTTTAAATTTATATCTCATAGCATAGCATAGTAACCTATACCTTATATAATGCATCATATCATACTGTAGCATAGCATATAGCATAGCATAGCATACAGCATCTTATCATTACATATATCATATCATTACCTATTTGTTTCACCTTTACTTGAAAATCATAACATATACATCACATGCCATTTGATATCATATATAATAAAATATAGAATAGCAAAGCATAGCATGTACCAACATATCTCATATATCATGTCATGTACATATCTCACCTCATCTCATGTGCTTTTCACTTTTCCTTTTTGACTTATCATAATTAAATAACAACAAATACACTTTGCATATCATTATTTGTGTGTGTGTGTGTGTGTGTGTAGGTGTTGTGCACCTTAACGTATGGGCTACTGTGTCTTTAAAGGGGTGGTGGTTCACGTAGAGGTGGCAGATAGGTTTAATATAGTCGTTAGGAGCACATCGTACATCCCGGAGCCTCTCTGCCTTTCATTTCCATCCACCGTTGTCTTCAAAAAAAAAAAAAGAAACGAAAAAAACAGAAGAAGAATCTTTGTCCAGCGCGTCTCCAGCAGCTGTGGACATCGTGCCCCGGAGCGATGGGAGGTACAGCCGCCGCAGATTTTTATTTCCCTGTCGTGAGCACATCATCATTAATTTCCGACACAGCGTCTGATCAGCATATTCATCATGTTTTCTCCCGTGACAGAGGCCGAGACGCGCCAGAAACTGCTGCGCAATGTGAAAAAGGAGGTTGGTTGCGTTTTGATCTTATTTTTTTTCATCCCTGTTTATTTCCACCGGTGCTGTCAGCTGAGACACTGTGTATGTATGGATATGAGTGTGTGTGTGTGTGTGTGTGGACATCGTTCATCGACTACGCCACCAGGCCTGTTTATGAGCAATCTGACGGTTTATTTCATATAAATTAGACAGGGAGTGTGTTTACTGAGGTTGCCGGTGTGTTTGTGGCTGATGCTGCTGCTGCTGCTTCACTGGCGTAAGATGACGATGATGGTGATGATAATGATGACGATAATACTGATGAGGGTTTATTTTTTTCCTCCTTTTCTTCACATCCACACATGCAAGAAGCCAGATTCCTTCATTTCTACCAATGCAAATGTGCTTAAATCTCACTCTAGCTCTGCAGAAATGCTGATTAAACAAACACACCAGCTTCTTATTCCAAAAAGGTGTGACCTTGCCATCTGGTTTCATTTTTGTAGCAACAGTTACAGGGGGGAGAATTAAAAGTCCAATTCTGCAGGCGTGTTTGTATTGTGGATGCATTTGGACGTGGATCTGTGTGGACATGGCAGCCAGCAGAGCACAGCATCCCTCCAAACTGCTCAGTGGATCCATGATTCCCCAGGGAAAGAAAACAGGATGTTTTATTCATTGCTAAGAAAGCTGGGCACTTCCAGACTTATTGTGTTCATGCTCCCCCTCACCTGTGACTCATTGCCTCTCAAAAAAAAAAAAAACATGGCTCTTGTAGTTGAGATCTTGCACCAAGGAGGGGCTTTGCTGCCATATATATTTATATATAATCCATGATGTTGCTGAAATAATAGATATTTGGCATTAATGTGTAGTTCAGGTTGGTCTAGATTCATTTTTCTCCTCCGTTGCAACTGTAGCTACGTAAATGATAATGAACCAGATCTGAATTGTGAATATTTAACTGCATCTTACTATGTAACAGGATCTTTTAATTTCTGAATAAAGCACAAAGCATCACATTAAATGTAATAATTTTATTGGTAAATGTTGAATTGCTTATCAGCACACACACACAAATACTCGACCGGTGCAGTTAAACAAAATTAGTTTTAAATTTGTATTGAAAGTTTGCTTCAGTTTTGTGTTTTGACTGAAGATAATGACAGCTTGTTAAAAAAGCTGACATTTGGCGAACAACGACAATTTTTTTCGTGTCAGTTTGCCAGTCATGGGGAGTGTTATTTACCCTGAGAACACACTTGTTTATTGTTTTCTGTGGCTCCAGAAGAGCTTTGTCAAGTCTGACAAAATAACACCCAGTGTTGTCATCAGGCTTTACCCGGGTTTGGTTGGGAGATTATGAATTTATGAAAGAAAGGCTGCTTTATGAACAGAGTGCTAAGATGTTGGTTTTTTTGCCCGACAGGAGGGATCTTCTGCTGAAATGTTTGCTTTATTGGAAATATACAATGCAGTGTTTTTGGAGCTTTAGCCCCACAAGGGATCTAAAATCAGGATATTTTGGCTTCTGTTGCTTTGATTGTAACCATATTTTGCAATCAGACTTACTAATAAATAGTTGGAGTGTCCATTTAGGGATGCAAGAAGGAGACATTTCAGATAGTGCTTGCTTATGCATTTCCTTTGTGACATCCCAGAAGATCAATAGACGTCAAGAATCAAACTCGTCTGGAATAACTAAGTGAAAAAAGGGCTTGAGTGTTATTTCTGTTTCCTTCTTTCCGTGCTCAAATTGAAGTTATGAGATGGAGAGCAGATAAAGGGATTTAGAAGACCAGATATTGCAATCTAGAGTTTGTGGTGCCGCTTGAAGGCATGCGGGTGCACGCCAGATGTGATGGGCAGCCAAAGAAGTTACAAAGACTGAAGAAACACAGGAGGAGGCTGCAGTGTTTGTGAAGTCATGGTGTGAGCCTTTTGAGATTTGTGCATGAAACCACTAAAGGTCCAGATGAAGGATTTTGAACTTGGCGTCTCAGGTGGTTTAGAACCTTTATCATTACCAACTGGGATACCTGCAGAACCCACAGCTGTACTTTTTGTCACATGACTTTGTTTAACATTTCGTCTGCTTAATATCAGTGTCTTTGGATCGTGTTTTAATTAGCGCTGTTTAAAAACAATGTATTTGGGGTAAAAAGCACCCAATGTTGAACATGAGTTGAGTTCATATTTGAAGGGAGAAAGAGATTTTCTCATGTGCTCCACATACACGACATCATAATTAAATGACAATCAATGTTTAATGTTTTATGATGCAAGATAAGATTTAAAGTGTGATTGACGTGCAGTCAGAGCATCATGAGGACATGATGTGAGTNGACTTTGTTTTTTCCTTCAGTCTATCTTTGGAGCCATCTTGTTGCTGCAGTTAAATTTATCCAGCCCAACATGACTCTGAAAATCTTTTATATGCATCCGATCATCAAAGAGATGCAACATTATGACAAAGAAACCCAAAGATGTATGGGTTTTTTGTTTTTTCCATCTCCAAGGGTTTAGACACATCTGTTCATTCAATGTTTTTTTTCTTATTCAGTGTAAAACTGACGGTTTGTGCTCAGTGACTGTGCAGGTGGACCCAAACGAAAAGGGAGACGGGTTAAAGGAAACAGGATTTATTAGGGAAGGTGGTGGAGTGATGGGCATCAGGAGGCAGAAACAAAGTCCGGTGAAGGGGTGCCGGTCGTGGGGAACAACCCGGTGGTGGGATCTGGTGCAGGGATGTCAGTCTTGGAGAGGGAGGAGTGGAGTCTTCGGTGTCGTGATCCGAGGAAGGGGGGTCCCGAGGGTGGTGCACGAAGAGCCGGTGCCTGAGAGTGCCTTGGTCCGTGGGGTTTTCCCCGGTGCAGAGAGGGAGCCGTGACGAGGGAAACCGGGGTGGTGCGCAGGGGTCCGGTGCTCTCGTGAAGGATCTCCCGGTGAAGGTGTCCGTGGTCGTGCATTCCCGTGGGTGACAATCGCTGGAGTGCTTGGAGGTGTGCCGAGTGCTGGAGCCGAGGAGGAGAACTGGAAACAGGCAGAGAAACACATACCATAAACTCGAAGCTAGAGAACATCAAGAATGCTCAGCGAGGTGTAGCAGCTCGCGGCCTGACTGTACCCCGAGGTAGGAATCACAATCCTCTGGCGTCGGTCTTCTGTGAGACGCCAGTATTGAAGCAGGGCACAGCTGATGAGCCACAGCTGCCAGTGTGCACGTGTCTCTCCTGATCGGCTCCGCCCAGCCTGCAGTGAACAGAGACACACCCACCAAAACACTAAGACAAAATCCCAAAAACACAGTGAACACAGTCTGACCCTCACAGTACCCCGTCCCCCCCTCAACGGACGCCTTCTGGCGTCCAACCGGGCTCGCGTGGATCCTCCTGATAGAGAGACCTCAGGAGCGTGGGGTCCAGGACAAGCAGGGCGATCAGCACTGAGCCGGGAGGGCGGAGGGGGAAAGGCCGGAGGGCTAAGAGCACTGGAGGACAGCAGCAGAACCATCAGGAGGCCGGCGACAGACTAGATGGAGACCCTCTGGCGGTTGGGCTGGAGCCCGAAGACGAAGGCGTGATCCCTCGGGAGGCCGGACTGTAGCCCGGAGACGAAGAAGGCGGGATCCATCGGTAGGCCGGACTCGGGCCGGGAGACGGCGACGGCGGATCCTCTCTGGAGCAGGGGAGGCCAAAACAGGCCAAGGCTCAGGAAGGAGAGGCTGGGGCAGTCTCCCTGCCAGCGGGACTGTCATCCATCCATGGCAGGTCCCAGCATCCCGAGCCAGCAGAGACGGTGTTTACCCGCTCGAGGACAGCCACGGTGGCGGCGTCGACCCGCCCAGGGATGGCCAGGATGGAGGACCAGTGTGGTGGGCGCGGCGGGACCTCGGGAACGCTCGGCGGCGGGACCTCGGGAACGCTCTGGCGGCTGAGCTGGAGCCCGGAGACGCTCGGCGGCGGGACCAGTGTGGAGGAACGCTGGGGGGCGGGACCCGAGGCCCAGTGTGGCGGACCGCTCGGCGGCGNTAAATGACAATCAATGTTTAATGTTTTATGATGCAAGATAAGATTTAAAGTGTGATTGACGTGCAGTCAGAGCATCATGAGGACATGATGTGAGTACAAAAACATGAATGTCACTATTTCAGAGGGAATGAGAAGGTTGGGTTTGCAAGGAGAAAGATTTGAGGAGGTTTACTCTGTTTGTCAGAGCTCCAAGGTGTGTTTGGCTGTAACAAATCCAGATAATATAGTTTTGGATGGCATGAGTGTTGATTTTTAAGCCAAGCAATCAAGACTGAGCAGATTTGGTGTTGCAGAAAGTATAATACATGAATATTGGCGGGCTGCAAGGTGGAACAGTGGTTAGCACCGTTGCCTCACAGCAAGAAGGTAGCTGGTTGGCATCTTTCTGCATGGAGTTCTCTCCGGGTTCTCCGGCTCCTCCCACAGGTCCATCCACAATCCCTCAACATGTTTTTGGACCGTGTGGGAGGAAGCCGGAGAACCTGGAGAGAACCCACGCTGCACGGGGAGAACATGGAGACAGAAAGCTCCCGGGTGTCCTCACCGGGATGCGAACTGGTGACCTTCTTGCTGCGAGGCAACAGTGCTAACCACCGCTCCACCTTGCAGCCCAGTCCAAAAACATGCTGGGATTAACTGGTGATTCTAAATTGTCTGTAGGTGTGAATGTGAGTGTGCTTGGTTGTCTGTCTCTAAGTGTAGCCCTGCGATAGACTGGTGACCTGTCCAGGGTGTCCCTGCCAGCTAGAATAGGCTCCAGCCCCCCATGACCCTAGTGAGGATTAAGCGGTGTATAGATAATGGATGGATGGATGGATATAACCCAAATTATGTTTCGTGAAATTACTGAAAATAAAAAGATACCAGAATCAACGGAAGGTAAATCCATACTACTGTGGATTGTAACTACAAAAAAAACTACAGTTAGTGTAATCAAATTAACTGTAAATTTATAAAATGCAATTTGTTCCCCAGAAAACATTCATTACCTAACATGTAATATTTTGAGCAGAAATAAGTTAACAGTGGTTTATTTATTAGTTCTTCTGTAGTAAATATGTTGGATTGGCTGAAAACCAAGTTAATGAGGACACTATTTTTACACTCTATTTAGGATCCAAGCTCATTATTCTATGCATGTGTTTACACATGTATCATGCTGTAAACTGTGCCTGTATATCCACATACTGTATATTTATTATGGGATTGATTGCGCTGCTGCTTCACTGTTGCCTCCTATAATGCACTCGCTCATCGCTTACTCTGGCACTTCTTGTTTTGTCTTTGTCACCTTATGCAACGCTGTCAGACTGATTACGGCTCGTCTCACTGCGTACTTCTCTCTTTTAGGTGAAACAAATTATGGAGGAGGCAGTAACGAGGAAGTTTGTGCACGCAGACAGCAGCCACATTATATCCTTCTGTGGTAACTGTTTTTTTTTCTTTTCTGCTGCCTGCTTCTCTTGCATTTCACACTAGAAGTCATCATTCTTGGTTGGGCTCTTCTACAACATAGATGGCACGAAGAATGTCAGCTGTAATGTTTAGCCAAAGAGTAGCAACATGGGCTGCACAACACAAAGTAAATAAGAGAGTTTGAGCAATTTTGACTAAAAGATGACGTCCTTTAGTGTCTTATTTAAGATATGTGCACCAAAGAATATTCAGTGTTAAATAGCATGAATAACTGTATTGCTCACAACCATATTTACATATCCATAGAATGATGGCTGACATCACTTGGTGTCAAGCCTCGTCACCTCCCACGAGTTCAGCCTCTCGGAGCCAAACGGTCCCACGCAGTCTGTTCAGGCCGTTTAAATCCCAATGATTTATTTTCATTAGTCATGTCTATTTATATTTATCAAGGTGGACGGATGGACAGATATGCATTAAAGTAGACTAACACCCTCCAAAGGTGTTGATACTGACCAGGAGTGAGGCGTACGTGATTCACATCCCTCATATCCTAGCAACCGTAGACAGGGTTGAGTTCAGTCTGTTTCTACTTGTGCCACCTGTGCTTGCCTTTCACCTGTATTAAGGCTTGAGGCTCTCACACAGAGGAAATTATGTTGTTCTCATAAGAGAACAACAAAATTTGGGGGGCAAATAACAACATTCCACCTCAAGGAGACAAAAAATATGTGTTTAATTCAATTGAAATGAAAGATATCTAGACTAAATATTGACTGATACTCTGTTTGTTTGTGTGTAGCTGTGGTGGAGGCCTGTGTGCTTCATGGCCTGAAACGGCGTATTGCAGGCCTGCTGTGCAGTAATAAGGTTGCTGCACTCTTTATGAAGGTGGCAAAAAGCTTTACGCCTGCTGAGGAGCTCTGCCACAAGGTCCAGGAGCTGGAACAGCTTATCGAAAACAGGTAAAATGTTAACCAGACAAATCATCATGCTTCCTCTTTGCATATCCTTTGGCTGTTTTTTTCCTTTATGTGCTATATTCCACCCTAATAAATCGCTAACCTGTTTCTTTCTGACAACCTGCACAGGCATCTCATGAGTCAGGTTTTCTTTTTCTGTTCTCTAGCAAGCAGAACAATTCCTCGCTGAGCAATGACCGCAGTCGGCAGTCCAAGTTGGCCAACCTTCCTCCGCAGGCACTGAAACACTTGTGGATCCGAACTGCTCTGATGGAGAAGCTGCTGGACAAGATCGTCCTGTACCTGGTAGAAAACAGCAGGTATCCGTACATATTATATTTAATGCATTTGTAATTGTCAGGCTTTAGAATAGTTTGTCATTCAGTCAGTATCATAATGTTGCCCTAACCCTCTGCACTGTAGATATTTTCCTTCTTGCATTTGTAATTTGTTTTCATGCTCGTCTCCTCCCTGCTCAACACAACACAGTGATATTTAACTTTTTTGATAAAATAGCACATTTTGAAGCTTAGATGTGGTTCAGTTTTCTAACAGAACACCACATCCCAAATGTTCAAGACCATCAGAAATTTGAAAAGCTGACAACTCTCTCTGTTTTTACTCGTTAATATATTGTCTAAATTTTGTGATTTTTACAAAGATGACATGCCTTTTAAACCCACCGATAGGTTTCGAGGAACAGATGGTTAAAGCTGCAGTAGGCAGAAATCTGGAAAGGCAAAGAAAAAGGCCAGAATTTAAAGTATTCAGCCCTCCTCCTCCTCCAGCTCTCCCCTCATCTACCAGACAAGCAAAAAACAAAACAAAACTGCGAAACCAAATGTTCACATTTAGTTTGAAAAGGACTCAGATGGTGCTTGAATGAGTGAAAGTCTTGTATTTAACTCACAACATTGTACTCCCACTTACTACCTGTCGTGGTATCGTACCTGATGAGGGTTAAGACCTGTGATCGGCTACATTTAATATAAACCTTGAAATCAGAACCAAGAGGAGTTACAGAGGTCGGATCACTTCAATTATAATATGCTGAACGGTTACTATGAAAAGACTTCACTGACTTTAGAAACAGCTGCTTCTTTGTCTTGTTTCTGTGACCTCAATAGTGTTCTTTTATTTTTTTTTTTACTTTTTCACAAATAATTTTTCTGTCTTCCTTTGCCCACATGTACATCGACATCCTGTATGATGTGTCTGCATTACAGAACCTTTTGACAGCTTTGAAATGAAAAGAAAAACTCGAGCCTTCACTCGTAAACGTTGACGCTAACACCATCTTATTTCCTGCACATTTACCTTTTGAATTATTTCTGTTTTCTTCAGTGCGTTCTATGAGAAAGAAGCCATGCTGATGGATCCTGTGGATGGACCAATTCTTGCATCTCTACTGGGTATTTTACTTTTCACTGTACTAACTTTAAGATTGTATAATAAATGATGCAGAGCTTCATTTAAAACCCATTACTTTTGTTCTACAGTCGGCCCCTGTGCTCTGGAGTACACCAAAGTTAAGACCGCAGACCATTTCTGGACGGATCCGTCTGCCGATGAGCTGGTGCAGCGGCATCGTATCCACAGTGGCCACTGTCGGCAGGACTCTCCCTCTAGAAGGCCTGCTCTGGTTAGACAGTCGAGGAATTGATGCTTTTCTTGTAAAACACACGAGTGCACTGCACGTGTTTAATACTTCTGATGTCGTTTTTAACTCAAACCAGATCCAGAAGAGGCAGTCCAGCGGCAGCATGGATGATCGCCCTCTCATGTGGGTGAGAGATTATGTTGAATCACTCCACCAGAACTCCAGAGCCACGCTGCTGTTTGGAAAGAACAACGTCCTGGTGCAGCCGGTATGTGTTTGTCTTTGGTTTGTAATACATTATTACAATCATAATCAACAGAGGGAATATTAAGGGAAGCTTGTTTGAGGGAGAGTGGTAAGAAGAAAGGCTGGGGGACTCACCATGTATGTGAATGAGAGATGCTGTGATGCTGGACACATTAAAGAGCAGCGCTGCATGAAGGATGTTGAACTGCTGGTGGTTGGTTTGCAGCTGTTTTACCTGCAGAGGGAGTTTTCACTCATCCTGGCGATTGCAGTTTACATCCCCTCCTCGGCTGATGCTGCTGCAGCCTGTGAGCTCATCCATAGTTCAGTGTCCCAGCTGCTAACATCACACCCTCAGTCTCTGATCGTCATCTCAGGAGACTTTAATCATGCATCGCTCTCTACCATCTCCCCACATTCAGCTAGTATGTGGACTGACTTGGACCTGCTGTGTGCGGATATTGGGGATGCATATTACTTAGTTATTGCTATTTTCTTGTACTTTCTTTCTATGTTTTATATGCTGCTGTTTACAATAATTTCCCAGATCAGGGATAAATAAAGTATATTCTATTCTATTCTATTCTATTTAGGAAACTTATTCAGTTAACCCTCTGATCTGAACTTTAAATGCCGCCAGCAGTTTGAAAGCCTACCGTCTTTAAGTAAATGACTAAAATTACACCATTTATCAGAGGAAGACTCTTCAGACTTGAACTAATCATGTGTGATATATCAGGAAAATGAAACAAATCTAAGCTTAAGATTTTTCGATTTTTAATCCATATCAATTTATTTTGTGTGTCTCATTTAAAATTTTGCCAAAAATAAACCCTTTGGACTAACTAGATTCTATCAAAAACTAAAAATTCTGAAATCCTTGGTGCAAGTGAAAAGCTATGAGTGACTCAAGTGTAACCAGCAGTCAGGGAACAAAAAAATCAGCTGAACTGCAGGCTGTGTTCATGCAGAGCAGATGGAAAACTAAAAAAATGTATGTTATTAGTAAAATACCCATAGTGTGTAGAGCCACTGTGTTCTGATAAGACCTATTGACACTTGAAAAAATGTCGTACATACTGATTCCAGGTTTTTGCAATTTGTGGCATTAAAACTCTGTTTTATTGCACAGAAGATATTTTGAGTTCTGGCCAGTTCTGCTATCTCCGGCACTGTGGGCTCATTTATACTGCAGTAACAATGAGCCCACACTAAGTAAAAATGTGACAGAAGCAAAATATTAAAAATAAAACACCCAAAAACTGCCTGGAGTTCAGAGGATTAATTGATTTATATTTAACTGGCCTGAATAGCACTGCCTGAAAACACGTTGTGATTTGTTCGCGTTCGCTCGCGTCCGCAGAGAGACGACATGGAGGCCATCCCGGGCTACCTTTCTCTGCATCAGACTGCAGATCTGATGACTCTAAAATGGACGCCCAATCAGCTGATGAACGGCAACGTCGGGGAGCTGGACTCTGAAAAAAGGTCAGACTGTTCAATCTGTTAGAAGTAAAATGTTGTTTTTACGCAGATGACTCATATCCAGTCGTCTTTCCTTCAGTGTTTACTGGGATTATGCGATGACGATTCGCTTGGAGGAGATCGTGTATCTTCACTGTCATCAGCAAGGTATAGTTACGTAAACACCAAATAACTTTTCCTCGAGTTCACTCAATTAGCGAGTTATTTCTGTCGTCCTGATGGTGTTGATTTCTCCAGTGAACAGCGGTGGGACAGTAGTTTTGGTGAGCCAGGATGGGATCCAAAGACCTCCTTTGCATTTCCCCAAAGGAGGTCACCTGCTGCAGTTTCTCACCTGCCTGGAGACCGGCCTGCTGCCTCACGGACAGCTGGACCCTCCACTGTGGAATCAGAGAGGAAAGGTCAGCACGGAAAGAGAGAATAATAACACACCTCTAGCCCCTTCATTTTCCAGCATCAAGTGTAACGATTAGCGTATCGTCTTTCCACTCACAGGGAAAAGTGTTCCCCAAACTGCGAAAGCGGAGTCCACACGGCTCGTGCGATTCCGTATCAGATAAGGAAGATGATGAAGCGACCGATTATGTGTTTCGGATCCTCTTTCCTGGCAATCAGATGGAGTTCAGTGAGTGTCTTTAATCTTCCTATTATCCCTCGCTGAGATAACACAATAAAGAATCATCAGAGCTCAGCTTAATCAGCTCTTTCCTTTGGCGTGTATTCAGTGTGCTTCTTTGTAATTAATTTCTCGCTTAAGTTAAACTGTTGTAATAATTTGCCTACTTAGCGTCTGTGTGTCCATTTCACATTGTAGTCTCGTCGACAATCGGGAGCCTTTGCATGGATTTAAAGTAATTTGTCTGCTGCTTCTCCACCTCCATCCTCCCTCTTGGTTTGTTTTTCTCATGTTTTTTTTTCTTTTTTTAGTAAACCTGAGCTTTAATGTGCACATTTGTTGGAACTGCATCTGATTTTACTCGCTTATCATGCTGATAGTAGCAATCGTAACAATAAGGGGCTGCTCTGCTGTGCAGTGGCCCTGGAGCTGATGGATCAGGGTGTCAACATGTGGCAACCGACCCCCAGAAAGTCCTCCTGCTCCTCCTGCTCACAGAATGGCTCGTCTGACGGCTCTCTGCCTAATGGCTGCAATCAGGAGAGGTAAGTGTTTTCTAACTACAGGCTCAGATCTCCTTGCAGATTACCCCACTTGACTAAATTTGCCGTTTTCCGACTTCACCAGGGCTCCGTTGAAGCTGCTTTGCGACACCATGAAATACCAGATCATCTCCCGTGCGTTCTATGGATGTGAGTATGAACAGCTGTGCTTCACTTCTTCATGATTTGGGAGAGTTTATTCTGATGAATCATTCATTCCAGTCGTCCCACACTGAATCTTATCTTTCCTCTCTAGGGCTTGCGTACTGCCGTCATCTGTCCACAGTCCGTACACACCTCTCCGCATTGGTCAACACCACTATAGTTGACCCCGATGCACCAGGCGATGCCCGAGGAGGCCTCTCTGTTGAGGTCTGGGGTAGTTTCCTCAAGGACAGCTCTGTAAGATTCACACGTGTTTTGTATTGCACTGTATTGTGAAATTATTCTTTTAAAGAGTTTGTTGTCTCAGTTTGACTTTGTTTTTCAGGCCTATGAGGAAAAGGAGATACACAGGCTTGTGTATTTTGGTGGTGTAGCTCCGTCACTACGCAAAGAAGTCTGGCCCTTCCTGTTGGGACATTACCAGTTCACCATGACGGAGAAGTGCCGGCTGGAGGTATTTCTCATGTGATATGTAAAGATGCACCTGCACCCCGGGTGGCGTTCTAGTCTTTTTGTTTACGGGAGGTTTCTGTTTCAGATCGACGAGCAGGTGCGGACCATGTACGAGCAGACCATGAAGGAGTGGCAGGGTTGCGAGGCCATTGTCCGACAGAGGGAGAGAGAGAAACACGCTGAGGCCCTCGCCAGATGTTCATCCGGGGCCAGTGTGGAGAGAGGACCAGTGCAGCGGGACTCCACCATCAGTACAGATGCAAGTTTGAACTTTCTGCTTAAAAATGCACCACGTTGTGTAACCATTATCACAACAGACAAAGCATATGTCTCGTGTTAACTCTTTGAACTCGGTTTCTGGGAATTTGTAGTTGCGTCTGTCACATTTTTACTCCTCTGTGCTCCTCTATGGAAACAGCATCACAAAGTTTAAATGCCATGAAATATACAAAACAACAACAAAACTAAATTAAATTTCTTTAAATATTCATTTTCCCCAATGAAACCATACGTCACACATGATTGGTTCATGAGCTGATTTTTTGTGTGTTTTTTTTACAATAGTTTTTTAGGATAATTGGTGTAATTTCAAGTTTTTTAGGTTGTTGTTGTTCAGTGGATTTTGAGGTTTAGCAGGTTAGGGGAAAAACTTGGCTAACAGTTCTGTTTTGGTCTTTATCCCTCTCTAGTCGTCTCTAAGTAGCAGCTCAGATCAACAGAATGCGACCTCACAGAGTGATTCCAGCTGCAGCGCACAGGTAGTTTCACATCAGCACAAACATCACAAACATGATCTCTACCTATCTAAACATCACACCAGTGTTGTCTTTCATGTTATAAGCTCTTATTATAACTTGCATACTATGCTTACTGTGATGTCGTCATTTTCCTAAGCATACCATCACTTTTAAGATTGATTTCCAACCTTTAATTAAAATTGAATTGAAATCAACTCCATTATCTGGCAGTTTGTGGCTAAAACAGTGATTTCAGAAAATTAAACAGAAGAGGAATTACAAGTACATGGGTTCAACACATAAAGGCTAATGTGACTTTGTTGGCTGTTTTACTGGATCATTTACAGTCGTGACTCGATAATCCGACCCTTAAAAATCCAAAACCTTGCTATCCGACAGGTTTTTAGGAAAAACAAAGAGAACCCATAGAAAATAGCCTTAACATACCGACAGCCTTAGATTCCGACTCTGACATGACATTTTATGTCACCAATCAGGATAACGACGTATTATCTGACTGAACAATCCGACAGATTGGCTACGTTCAGACTGCAGGACTTAATGCTCAATTTGGATTTTTTTGTGAAATCTGATTTTTTTGTGAGTTTGTTCACATTTCCAATTAAATACGACTTGTATGTGATCTGCTGTGTGAACTTCATACGACCCAAAAGTGTCCCACAGAAGAGGACAACAACGTCACACACAGCGAATGTGCTCAGTGTTTATGGAAGTAAATGTGGATGGTGGCAGAATGGTGGAAACAGAACTGTGACCGCTAACTAAACTGGCATCAGCAGCCAAATACTGCCTGTGCGTTCCGACCACTTCCACCCCGTCAGAGCGCTCCCTAGGGGTGGAAGTGTCCCCCCGACCACGCCAAATATTCTGATATTCATCATTAATTGAGTCTAGAAAGTGCTATTGGGACCAGCCCTACTAGTTATCATAACAACTATAAACAATGAATATTAACAACAAATTTCCGTCCTTGTATCTCCACCTCCGTCTTGACAATCCGACAGCCTTGCTATCCGACATAAAAGAAGGTTTTACATTTAGTGTCGGATTATGGAGTCACGACTGTTTTTTCAAATGTTGAATTGAGGTATAGATCGAGGTAGCGCTGCCATTGCACATCTATGGTCATAAATCAAAGATTGTTTTGACCTGCTAATGGCTCCACATTAATCCTCTCCAGCCTGCTGGTCCCTGTACTGGGACCAGCTGCATCTGTTGTTAGAAAACAGCTGCTGCCAGTTTGAGCATGTTGCTGCATAACATTTATTATAGAGTTGCGATTTTTTCATATGTTCAACAACATCATCGTCTACCTACTTCTTAAAGTGTCGTCATTCCCCTTTTTACTTTTAAATACTGATAAAGCAGAAGTAAAAATTCTATTTTTTTTGTGTGTTTTTCAAATGCTGCTCACACCTGGTGATGGAGACTCAGTGCTTTAGTTGATCCTATAATTCTCCCAGGTGTCTCTGATCAACAGAGCTCAAGGTTGCTTATTTTGGCCTCGCATTTGTGGAGGTTTTACTGATGGAATTTGTTTGGTTTGTTTTCAGGCACAATTTTCAAAATCCCAGGCCTTAAGGGTTTAAAAGAGGACTGAGTGATTACAGTTTACTCTGAGGGGGACATGAATGCCGGCACCAGATTTTATGGCAATCTATCCTTTTCCGTTTTATTAGAAACAACAAATACAAATGTCAAACTAACAAAGAAAAGTCAGGAAATCACCAAAGATTCTTCATTGAGGACACAAGAAAGTCATTACCAAATCTTGTGGCAGTTAATGTAGAACTGTATATGTTTAGACGTTATGCTGGATGAGTAAAAAGATTGATCTGCTGTTGGTGCTCGGTAGAAATCCTGCACAACAGCAAGCAACAGTTGTTGAAATATTTCAGCCTTATATCTTATATCAGCAGTAATGTAAATGTATATTAATATTTAATATTAAAGGCATTCTTTATTAATAGTTATTAAATCAATTACACTTTATAGATCAGCTGTAAGTCTTTAATAAGACCGACCGTGTGTAAAAAATCCCTTTGACTGGTTGGACCTCATGCTTATATTCTGGAAAGGGCTACGATAATCAGGATTTATAGTTTATCAATGGATTAGCAACAGTCAAAAGAGAGGTGGTCAAAGGGATTTTACCGCAACCCATAACTTATTAATGGTTTCCAACTGATCTATAATGCATTAAGTAATGATTTATTAGCTAATAATAAAGCCATTAGTGCAACTTTAAGAGCAGTACTAACACCACAACGTATTGCATGTTCTCAACTTTCCGTTTCCTACCAGGTGTTTGAGTCTGTTGAAGCATCGGATCAGCCTGAGTCAGAGTCCAGAGCTGAACAGGGAGAGACACAGCACAGCGATCCGGTGAAGCCCATCCCCAGTGAGACCACAGACAGTCAGCAACTTCCCACCTGCAACTCCTCCTCCTCCTCCCCAGATCCATCAAATCAACGTCCAGGTACAGACAACAGCCCGCCTGTGACTGAATCAGCTGTTGGATCTACGACTGCTCTGCAGACAGCAGAAACATCAGAAGTCTTGAGTGAGGAAACTACAGCAGCATCACAGCCAGTAAAGGATCAGCTCACAACATGTGAGTCAGGAGGGGAGGATGTGAAGGCTGCAGAAGACAAGCCTGAGCCGCAAAAGACGGAGACGGTTTCAGAAAGTGGGGAGACCGAAGAGCCTGGGATCAGTACGTCAAAAGAGGAATCTGAAGCTGAGCAAAAGGCTGAGGTAGAAGAAGAAGATGCATTAACGAATGAGGTTTTAACAGCAGTAGACACAAACATGAATGTGAAATCTGCTCCTGAGAAGACCAACGTTCTAACGCTAGAAACAGAGATTCACAACGAGTATTTCCAGGCTCCTCCGCTCGGCCAGACATTGACTCTTCAGCCACACCAGAGCAAAGATCTGGAAGTGGAGCCATCTTGTCCACCAACAGCAGAAAAAGATAGTAATTCACCAAGTGAGATTTCTAAACCTCCTGAAGCAGTGTCTGAAAAAATCCCACCGATCAAGGCCGGCACCGCGGAGCCAGAAACAAAGGACGTCGAGGCAACCGTTTGTGACTTTGCTGAAACCAAAAAAGCTGCAGAGATTCCATTTGAGAAACCTGGTTCGAATTCTCCAGTCAGACAGGTACTGAACGCTCTTCAGTCAGCGTCAAGAGGGAGCCTTTCATTATCGTCTCGGCAGTCTCCCGACACAGCGGATTCAGACGACTCTCCTTCTGCCTTGGAAATGGAGGACATTCCTGCAGGGATAACGTGCGTGAACTCGGAGGATATTAAGGCCAGGCCTCTGGTAGGCCTCGCCGCACCTCCTGCCTGCCTGGCGCGAAGAGAGAAGATGGCTTCTGAGGAGCTTGTCCTAGAACACCATCTGGACACAGCTTGTAACACCAGTCCTGAGGGCACAGATCTGGGCCTTTCTGAGGAGGAGCCTGAGATGGAGAATGTGCTCACTGAGCCGGAGTCTGCAGACGCCGGAGGAGACGCCAAATATGACGAATCTTCAGGGGAGCAAACCTATTCTGTAAGCACACCGATCCAAAAGCAGTCTTTATTTGAATCCTAAACTTATACTAACTGTTGTTGTTTTTTTCTCTGTAGCAAGAAACACTGGACATGTACTTGATCAACTTGCACCGCATCGACAAAGACGTCAGACGCTGTGATAGGACGTATTGGTACTTCACTCCTGACAACCTGGAGAAACTACGCAACATCATGTGCAGGTAAAGGAGCCACCACGCTGACCTTGGACAAGTTGAAACGAGAAAAAAAAGTTTAAAATGTGGTTGTCTTTGCAGTTACGTGTGGCAGCATCTGGACACGGGTTACGTCCAGGGCATGTGCGACCTGCTGGCCCCCCTGCTGGTTATTCTGGACGATGGTCAGTGAACCTTTTTTTAACTGTGAACTTTAGCAACGTTAGCTTTGCGTAAGTGCACATCAGTAGCTAAATGAATGACTTGTTCTCTTCCCAGAGGTTATGGCATTTAGCTGCTTCACTGAGCTGATGAAGAGGATGAACCAGAATTTTCCTCACGGGGGTGCCATGGACTCTCACTTTGCCAATATGCGTTCTCTTATTCAGGTATGACTGCATGCTTTGGCACACATGTGACACGTTGATTAACGCTTTTCTAACACGACCTTTGACTTTCAGTGTAATTTTGCTGAATGAATAAGCTACTAATGAAATAGTTGCTGATATTTAAAAGCAGGTACGGTGGAAGAAAATAGGTCATTACTCAGTGTTTCGGAGGAAAGATGAAAAATGGTGTCATGTTTCTATGCAAAAAAAGTATAAAAAAGTAGAATAGCAGGGCATTATATTACAGTGTACATACTTTATTCTTAGGATATAATCAAAATCATTACAATTATAATACTATGTTACGATTAGGCACCTACATCTATCTGTTAATATTTATCTATATGACGTTGTCCCCTTTGGATCACCATGTAAACCTGACATGACACTTCTCTGTTTAAACATTTACCAAGATTTGCAGCTATTTTGGTTGCCGAGACTAGTTTTATGCAATCCTGAGTGGCATCCAGACCTGACCCGTTGCATAATTTCTTACCAAACAGGCCCCATATGTTGAGGAAGGGGCCTAGTGAAGTCATGTTGACATTGTGTGTCGTGGACAAGAGGGGAGCAGTGATGCGGCCTCCCTCCTCTCATAATTTCCACACCAGAGGATCCCCCAGAGACCTCAACTACCATGAACGTGTTGGATAGAAATCTACATAATAGTGTAATAATGTAGGAATGGGTAATAGATCACAAGTATTATAGTAGTATCACAATTTAATGAGTGCAAGAGAAGCAGGTGTTAGTGATGGTAATTGGGTAGATATGTAACAAAACATGGAGCAGCAAAACAGGTTTTCATGCATTTCTGGACACGTGCATGTAGATTTTTGTAGCCTCGGCACCAGCTGTCTGGTTTAAACTGTGATGAATTAAGAATGGATTAGGGATGTTAAAAGTTGATGTATTACTCTTGTAGGTGGATCAGTATGACACGAATAAATCCCTGAAGTTCAGGTGTAGCTGTCTGCTGGAGGCACGCTTACAGATGAAGTGCATGTCTGAAATTACAAAGTGTAATA